AAAGACAACTTCTCCCTTCCCCATTATACGGGGCACAGTCTAAGTAAAACAGAGAAACAAGTAAACTAGAGAAACTGCTTGAAAGCAGTGAACTTCTCCAAGAAGCTCATTGAAATGATGCATTTACAGATAACTGGAGTTCTCAGCTACCACAGCATATGCAATTTCACTAGTAACTAGCTCCCAAGCAATACTATTGAGTACTTCAAATTCAGAATTGAAAATTTAAAGTTTAGGGCTAGCTGTGTGACCCAAGAAAATTACTTTATCCCTTACATTTATTCCAGTTGTGTTAAACATTGTAAGATACTGGGCCATCATATTGCACATCTACTGAAGTTTCCAAGTATTTGCTGCAAGCAATACCAAGTAGATTGCATTGCAGAAATCTGATCTGATATCTACTGAAACATATCTAACTGGCATGAACCTGAGTAATACTGTTAAATGGCATTGAAAAACTTCTGTGCATACATTAATTTCAGACAATGTGCATATTATCCTTAAAAACTCCCAGTTCCAGAAAAGACGATTACATGAAAGATTATTCAGCACTATGATGAATGATGATGCTTTTCCTGCTTTTGACATGGAATGAAAAGATGGACAAGGTACAAAGTCAACTAACATTGGAAAGATATGCACGTATCCTGAATTAGTATAGGTCCCAGGCCTTGGCCATATTGATCATCACCACCAGTCTACTCTGGTCTCCAGTTGGGAGGTCTGGAGACACACCATCTATAACACTGCTGCTTCCTTTGAGAACGCACGCAGGATCACTCTTGAGGAGAAAAGACAATGCAGAAAGATACCACCTAAGGAGTCTTTCTGCTGTACCTTTTGCAACCGGACCTGTAGCCACCAGTGCACTTGTAGCAAATGTGGGTAGAGCCCTTCCCAAATCTTCGTTCGTGAAGCCTAGCCATGATAGGTCCCAGATGGGTGGTAGCATCTACATAGAGACCAGACCCCAGACATTCAGTTGGATGTCTAGGATGTGGTTTTACTAAAGGATTTGAACATTTCTGGCTTCCAGGAGATAAGAGATACCTACAGCTATTGGAGAAGACAAATTTTAATTTCCTTTTTGAAAATTACTTTTTTTCACCTAGCAGCCATTGGGTTCCTGAATTGTCATGGTGACTGTTTCAGCCTTTTCTGATTCATGGAAAGTCTTTATTGTCATGGCTTTTGAAGAGACAATGAGCTGAAAATGCTCCTGAATGGCTCTTCTTGTATATGGTCTCTGGTCAATGCTTAGGTTTTAATTTAACATTTAACATCCTTCTAGTCAAGCCTGATGCAGGAGTGCCAATTACATTCCTCATGGCTGTCCACTCTGTTAGCCAGCTGCTGAGCTCTGCACTCTGGCAGTTCATCACAGGTTGGTTATCAGGTTTCAGGATTTCCCATACACAAATTCATTTATTTTCTGGCTTTTCATTTTCTTTATCTATAAATCTTGTCTATTTCCTCTCAAGGTTACGCTATTTCAGGCTGTGGACTGAATATCAAAAGGTGCTGAGATTTTGCATTACTGATGGAAAGGAGTTCCTTCAATCCTTTACCCATTTTTTGTAGCTATCTGTGAGGAAAGTAAGAGGATGAATCACATTTTCAGGGAGCATGTGTAAAGATGGGATGCAGTTTTGATTAACCTTCCCTGCACACTTAAAAGAGGTTTTTTCCTTTGGATTCATACACCAAAAAGATGACATTATATGTGGAAATAGGTTGGTCTAATTTCTATGGAGGAGATTTAATTTATTGAAATTTTGTTTTGTTAGCTGAAAACATTTTTGGATTGCGGTCTGTGGACTTAGTAATACAGTTGTGTGTGACTTGTGCCATATCAATAAATACTTCCTAGCTTGGTTCCATCAGTTGCATTCAACCTAATTCCAGTGCTTAACTTGGGCAGTCTCCCAGTAAAATTTTCAGCATCTGCTTGAGAGGAGAGAGGATGACAAGTCTGCCTACGATAACGAAATTTCTTTTCCTCTGTGAGTAATGGGGAACCATAACTAAAATCTACCCACTCCACATCTGAAAATGATGATGAGTAATCCAAGTGATCCCAAGTGAGTGATCCAAACACAAGGATCTCAGGTGAAAAGATGGCATAATTTTTGGTGCTGCACCACTATCATGATGTAATGGTAGTGTTGACCTCATCTAGATTTTACACTTCTTAGAGATAATTGGACAGAGGTCAAGGAACGATTTAGTCAGGGTTTAAGTCTCTCTCTCTCTCTAAAGATGAGCTTCAAGAGGGTTTTGAGTTGAACATAATTACCAGTTTATTAGAATACATGCTCTGAGTATGTGTTCCAATACTCAATTCTAATCCTTAATTTAAAGATGATGAAAACTTCCAGACTAAATCAGGAGAAATAAATTAATTTAGACATCTAAAGCTTCAGAGAACCTTCAGAACTAGCAGACTGTGTGGCTCTTTGAGGCTTTAGATAGGTTTTAGGTGTCAGGTGATGTCCCAAATTAGGTGGGATTAAAGGAACTTGATTTAACATGGCTTTAATTGTGGTTGTTTTGGTAGTATCTGATACCAAAACAGTGTTCAAAAGCTTAGTCATGCTCATGAGGTAATCTTCATATATAAGACCCTGAGATCTTGTGGGTTGAACATCTTGCTCTTTATCATACTGGTGTGCCTATGGCACAGCAAGAGGTTAAACCAAGTCTGAGGAGCCACAAACTGTTGCCCAAACCAGTGAACTTGTGACCTGCAAAGGGCAGCAAGCAACTACTGCCCCACTAAGATTTTTCTTATGCAGTTCCTCTTTTTCATGGAATTAAAGTATATTACTTTACTAGTTTCTTTCTGTGTCCTAATTCTGCAGCTGAACCTTCTGACATGTTACCTACATAGCTCTGAATTATGTATCAGGCATAAAACTGTCAGAGGCTTCTTCGGAAAATTTGGCTGGAAGGCATAAATTCCCTTCCTCTCTTCATGCCTTTCACCTTGAACTTGTTTTCTATGGGGACTGTAAAACAGCTGAAAATAATATAGTAAAATACTATATGTAAGATAATACAGTAATAAAAGAAAAGAGTATGGCAGTGAAAGATTCTTCTTATAGGCAAGCTGAAGACAGCATTGCAGGCTTATTCTTTGGTTGCTGCATAGCTACCTTTGATGACTATGGCTCAGTGGGATGTAAAACCCCATACCAGGAAAACATTAACACAATAATTTATGGATTATTTTAGCAGAGACATGAGTATGTTGATGGTGTAATCTAGAGAGAAGTCCAGAAAAATATTCATAAATGACATCTCATTGATTTTGGTATTTGACTAAGAATATAGAAGTGCTAGAAGCTTGATCATTTTTTTCCCCTAGAAATATGAGGTGCCAACCCAGAGGTGTCTTCAATATGTTCTAGGAGGGTTGTGAAAAAGATCAAATTTCATTCTTGAAGTCAGTTATGTTGCTTGTGATAGAGGAAGGTACAAATAAATGCATTCGCATAGGGAAAAATACTTTGGGAAATACTCTAGGTGGTAGAGCACAAAGCTGCACACTGTGGGTTGTAGAGCACAAAGATTCAATGAGCATGGAGAAGTGTTTTCTCAGATTAAGGAAATCAAATATTTCAAATCAATCTCTAGAAGTGACTTGAAAATATTAACCACTGTTACTTTTATTTGTCATTCAAAGCTTTGCACACCAAAGTGTGTCCTTACTGAAAGGTAATATGCAGTTGCAGAGGAGCTAGGATTGGAAGTTGTAATAAAGACACTGACATTTCGAGAGTGATTACTGAGAATGATACTGTAAATACCAGTTTGCAGATGAATAAACTGAGGGGCAGACCTGTTTACCACACCTGATAAACTGAAAGAGAGATCCCAAGAGTCCTGGTTCTCAATCCAGGCTCTGACTGCTACTAACCTTCTAGTATAGAAGAACATTCTAATTTACACTATTTGCTATGCAATAATGTAATAATGAATAAATGAACTTTCATGTAGTAGCAGAAGCCAGGAAATGAAAAGTAAACTGTGGTCTCTTTTGGTCTCAAATGTTTCCCAGTTCTATTTAAGCAAAAAACGTTTTATCTGTTCAAGTTGTGTAGGACAATATGTAGGCAGAAGATGCTTTATGCATGAACTTCTATTTTCATTCTGATTTTAACAATTGGCATTGAATTCTGTGCTAATTATCTAAAAAAAATTCAGAGACGATGGTAGAAATATGAGATCTATGATAATAGGAACATGTTGCCATAGACACAACTGTTCAATGTAACATTGGGACACTGCTGCTTAAAGAAATCCACTGAAGTTGTATTTCACAATGCCCTGAAATTATGCGGTTGTGAAAAATTAATTATAATCCTTTCACTGAAGTACTAGGGTGTTGATTCTAAAATATTCGACAAACTACTTCAGTGCAGAGGGCTGTCAGATGACAGAGAAAGTCAGAATTACTGAGATACATTTAAAAGTTTTAATTCTAGCAGGTGGCCAACATTTTTGAGTATTGCATAGCTTCATTATGAATTTTAACAGTTTCAGTTATAGCTTTGGAATTTCTACATCTTTTTGAAAAATCCATCTCATTAATTGGCATGAAATGCCACTATTTATAGAAAATATAGGGGAAGAAGAAGAGGACAATGCAAAGCAGAAGTTTAAAATGAGAGCTTTCTGTTACAGGCAGTAACAGGTGTTTGTTTTTTTTTTTTTTGGTGTGAATTAGCAGATACATCTGCATCTGGTCCAGAAGACCTTAGCTGTCATCTAGCTTGATTTCCTGGCCAGGACTTCACTGAAATTATCAGATGTGTATTTTGTGGTTTGGCTGGTTTTTCAAGAACATCATATACAGCAGCAGCAGCATCCATTAATAAGTAGATTTCTGATGAGTATTTAGAGAAATACATTCTTATCATTACAAAATTGCATGCACATAAACGCACTCTCTGCCAACCATTAAATTTAATTCTCATTACCTTATTACATCACAGGTTTTGTGAAGGACCGGGAGTCATCAAAGGTGGGGAGATGAGCTACATTCCTGTGTTGGTTTGGTGGAGGATGGAAAAAAACCCTTCCTATGGTGTATGTTTATTTTATTTATTTCACTTATTTCTTTCTCTTCAGACTAAGATTTTTAAAAAATCAATAGCTGTATTGCGTCTCTCCAGCTCACAAAAGACTAACCCAATTGCATTCTTCTGTTTTCTAGACATGAGTCACCTCTTACAACAGATCCTCCTCTCCTCTTCCCTTGGGAGAATCTTCTTATAGTCCAGTTTGACTTGTCTTACTGAATCACTAAACACCCTTAGTGGCCTTTCCTTTGTTCTGACTGATAAATACAAGCTGAAATATCTCTTGCCCACATGGCCTTCAAAGGTACCTTCACTGAAGACCCACACAGTGTTCAGAATACTATTTGATATCTGCATGATGCACTTACACTGTATCCAGTGTCCCAGCTATTGTGACTGGGCAACTATTCGCAAACATCTCTTACAGAATATTTCAGTAGTGGATTCCACTTTGAGTGTGGTGATGAGCAGGGGATAGAAAAAGATACTTTCAGACTGTATTACTCTACTTTTGTAGAATAGCTATAGTAGTGCTGATAATCTGCCAAAAGAATAACAGGGAGGACCGACTCTTTATAACTGAAGTTTACATACAAACTCAGTATTATAGCATGTGCATTTAAATTTATTTCGTACCTTAAAAAATATCAGTGAAATTCTAAGATGGATTGTTTTAGAATTGACTTTAGCAGACATAGATTTTTATTGTTTGGGCCAGATTCTCATATTTTATAGGATGGTAAATATTTATGACCCTGTTGGAATTAAAAGGTTACTGGTATTATGATTGACAGTAGACTCTGGCTTTGTTTTTCTAAGAGATTTGATGTTATTTTTAGTTAATATGTGAAATGGGGCATGCTATAACTTCTTTGGGTCAAGGGGACTGCTATTTCTAGAACTATTTAAATAAAGTATTAAGAGAACAGAAAATATTCCTCTTGGATAAATATGGCTCTAGTCAATTGATATTCTACTGTCAGAATGCATGTCTCATTTAGTCTTGTCCTCCATGCAAAAGAGATATTGACCCTGTGTACTACACTGGGACTAATTTTGCATATAGAAATAATAACAAAATGTTTATAGACAGCCCCATAGCCAGAAGGATTGCCAGAGATTTTTAGCTTTTTTAAATAGTTACAGTGCTAAAGTCAGTTTGCTTGTGAAATACCATCAGATTATAGCAGTAATTTACATTTTATAAGATATTTCAACTGAAGACATTCTCTGAATTTATCTGATCTCCACTGCATGTGACTCAAGGGAGTATTGAAGTAAGAGGACATTCATGGAAGAAATGGGCAAGGCATGGTGTTTTAAGAGGAAACTTAAACTACATGGAAATAATAGAACTCCTTAAAAAATATCAGTAAAAAAGGATTCTTTAACTGCTGTGAAATAATAGATTACTATCAGTGTAAAAAGTTTCTATTCTGATGTAAATTGTTGAAAATATTTTTTGGGTTGTGATAAAATTTTCAGTGATAAAATGTTGAAGTAAATAATTTTGACATTCTAGACTAATTTTGATTATATCAAAATCCTCTGTTTTGGTGTTGTCATATAAATTTGCTTTAAAATATTAAATTACTATTACATTTCCATATTCTATATTTTATTTTTCATATAGTCAGCTTTTTTTCTTTGCAGAAAAAGAAATCTTAGTGGGTTAAATTGAAAAAGCTCTTAAGGACATTTTAAAATGGATTTTGTGTGCCAAATTCTCCACAGCTAAAGTAACTGAAAAGAGTTAGGTTTACAGAATGAAGTAATCATGCTTTAACATAGCATTTGAGGTATTTCCTTGAACCTAGAACAAAAAAACATGACAATGGTTGTTCAGTCAGTACATGTTGGGCATCACTACACAGTCAAAAATAAATAAATAATAAAAAAATTCCTCTTCTTAACCATGATGCCACTAATTACAGCCCCTCAGGAGATGAGGTCTGACTGCTGGGATTGGTATTTTCAGCAGCAGTTTTCAGGAACACCATGCGAAATTCTCAAAAGCAATAGTGGATTCAAAACCACATTGCCTGATTAGTTGGGCATGATTTAGAGAATGTGGATTTTTCCACTTCTTGCTCACGAGTACTTTTGCTTTAGGAATCCTGTTTGAAAGAAGATATCATTCACCTTGTTTTAACAATTTAGAAATAATATTTCAACTGATGTGTAGGTGGCATAGAGGGATAGAATGGAAAGGAGGGTGAGAACAAACAGCAGTGCTCTTCTCATTATGGTATTATGAACGGAAATTAACATCTTAATGGTTCCAAAAAGTTGATTCTTATATACATAGTTACCCCACCTATATACATGTATACATTTTCCCATTTTAGTGGTGCCTAAGTTTTAAAACTCATTCTGAGTGCTTAGTGGAGACAAGTAAAAGAGCATTGCACCTGCTGTAAGACATCAGCAAGAGCAGAATTATATCAATTTGTAAATGACAGAAGGCCATGAAAGATGAAACCTTTTTCTCAAGTCACTTGTGTTCCTGGATACCTCACTGCAACAGGGCAATGCAATTAACAGCCATCAAAGAGGTGTTAGGATGACATGCAGAAAAGGTAAATGAAAGACATAGGTAAAGGTGTTTCTGAGAAAAACATACACCCTGAGAATTGGCTATAATTAATCTGTATTTAAAAAATAAGGAACAGACCTATGGTACCAATGGAAGGGCAGTCATAGAATCATAGAATGACTTGGGTTGGAAGGGACCTTAAAGATCGTCTGGTTCCAACCCCCCTACTATGGGCAAGAACACATTCCACTAGACCAGGTTGCTCAAGACCCATCCAACCTGTCCTTGAACACTTCCAGGGATGAGACATCCACAATTTCTCCAAGCAACCTATTCCAATGTCTCACCACCCTCATCATAAAAGATTTCTTCCTTATGTCCAATCTAAATCTACACTCTTTCAGTTTAAAATTGTCCTGTCACTGCAGGTCTTGGTAAAAAGTCCTTCTACACCTTCTACACCCCACTTAAGTACTGAAAAACTGCAATAAGGTTTTCCTAGAGCTTCATCTTCTCCAGGCTGAACAACCCCAACTCTCTGAGCTGATCTTCATAGGAGATGTGCTCCAGTCCTCTGAGCATCTTCATGGCCTCCTCTGGACCTGCTTCATCAGGTCCTCATCCTTCTAATGTTGGGGCTCCAGAGCTGGATGCAGTACTCTAGCTGGGGTGTCTAGAGAGCAGTTTAGATGGGAACAAAATCACCTCCCTTGACCTGCTTGCTGGTCATGCTTCTTCTGGAGCAGCCCAGAATATGATTGGCTTTCTGGGCTGCAAGTGCACATTGCTGGCTCATGTTATTTTTTTTATCCACCAGTATTCCCAAGTCCTTCTCCACAGGACTTCTCTCAGTCTACTATTCCCTTATACTGGTAATTACCTTGATCCAGGTATAACACCTTGCACTTGGCCTTGTTGAGCTTCATGTGATTTCCATGGGATGACTCCCCAAAAATCTTTTTTTATGGCATCCTCTCTCTCTAGCATATCAATTGTACCACTCAGCTTGATATCATGTTTCATAACTTCATAATCACACTGTGTAAGCCATTGTTAAAGATACTGAACAGTACTTGTACCAGTATTGACCCCTGTGGAGTATCACTTGATAATGATCTTGATTTGGACATTGAGCCATTGACTGCAACTTCTTGTATGTGGCCATTCAGCTGATTCCTTATGCATCAAATAGACCATCCATCAAATCCATAACTCTCCAATTTAGAGACAAAGATGTTGTGTGGGACCCTGTCAAAGACCTCACTGAAGTCAAGATAGTTTCTCTTCTCTTATCCAGCAGCACAGTCACTCCATCACATCATTGTAGAAGGCCAGCAGATTATTTAGGGGTGATTTTCCCTTTCTGAAGCCATATTGGCTGTCTGTAATCACCTTCCTGCCATTCATATGCCTTGACATAACTTCCAGGAGGATTTATTTCATTATCTTACCAACCACATAGGTGAGGTTGATTGGTTGGTAGTTTCCATGGTCCTCCTTTTTGTTCTTTTTGAAAACTGGTGTGATATTTCCCTTTTTCTAGTCACTGGGTACTTTGTCTGACTGCTGTGACTTTCCAAATATGATGGAGAGTGGCTTACCAAACACATCTGCCAGTTCTCTCAGGACCATGGGGTGCACCTCATTGATTCCCGTGGAGTTACGGCTGAAAATAATACAGCTGAAAATAGTTTGACTTGGTGGCTAAAAGAGGAGCTGAAGTAAGGCATGAAATAATTGGTAAAACTCTACAGGAAAAGTCCCAATCAGTCACAGGAGTTTTTTTGCTGAGTTTATTGTTGCCGCCAGGATGTTTTCTAATATCTTTGTCTGGGTATTATTTTTATGATTTGAATAGTAGTAGATGAAAAACTATCTAGATTGGCTAGGTGTCTTCAAATTTTGGGGGTCACAGGTCCCAGAGGAGATAAAGGTATAACATGCATCATCAGTTTTCACAGGGGTAGGTTGATGACAAGAATTTTTGTAGCATTGTATGTATAGTTGTAAAAAATGCCTGATTTATGCAGACTTTTCTTAGATTCTATAGACAAATTGGCAAACTGTATTTGTAAAAGCTCTGATTATAAGGGAATCATGTATTTACACCTGTGGAGGTTCATTATCCTGGTTTATTTGGCTGTATTTCAAAGAGATTTCTCTGTACTAAGAGATTTTTTTCTTCCTTCATTTTGACAATATACTTATTTTAAATAAATTTTTATTTTTTTCTAAAGAAAAAAGATCATTACATTTAGTACATTATTGGAATAATTAGATTATCTGTCTATTATTTACTGAATCTTTTTTTGCTTTGACTCATAAGACTTCTAGAAACTTCTTGATTCTTCATTTAAAATCAGTAAAACATAGAAAATACACTAATTGCCTTGTAATTAGTTTCATTAATTATCCTTTGCTTTCAAACTGTCTGCAGGTTTGAAATAACTTTTCAAGAATTGGCTAAATTTAAGCATATTTTTAAAACAAGGTGTTTATCTCACTGATGAGATTTCTTGTTGAGGTTTGTTAATATTTTAAGCTAAAAATTGTTATCAATGTAATGAAGATGAATGCATGGCCAATGAATGTCCATGAATGTACTCTCTGTTGTAAATTCTAACAATTTTTTTGTTTAATGAAAATACTGGCTACATCAAAAAAAAACCCCTACACTTGTGTTTTCATGGAAGCA